ATATCTGTACTATTCTGACATTCTTGGACCTCAAGAAATTAGATTGGCTGTCAGTACTGCAGGATTGATCAATATTCAGATATATACCATAGTTTGTGAACTCTATAACTTTCCTACAAACTAAAAAATACATCCTAATTTGGGTTATTTTCACCAAAGACATGTAGCAGAATACATCTCGGCCTAAATTTATGAAGAACAATTATTTATTTGCAAACTTTTATAACAGAAACAAAGAAAAACATGTTTGTTTTCAAAATTTTCGGTCTTTTTTTTGTTAATTTAGCAAAAAATAAAACCCCTGGCGATGATTAAATACCACCAAAAGAAAGCTCTAGTTGTGTGAAGAAAATGATAAAATTTTAGTTTGGGTACAATGTTGTATGACCGCGCAATTGTCATTCAAAGTGTGAGAGCGCTGAAACCTGAAAAATGGCCTAGGCAGGAAGGTGTAAAATTGCACGTATTGAATTGGTTAAGCTTTGGCAATAAAACCTGGAAGCTGATTGGTTTCTATGCAGAAATGAGCCCGATTTCTCACTCCCCAGCTTCAAAAAGCATCAAAAACAAATAAAAACAATGGTAAACTGGTAAGCACTTTATTGCGTGTTAACACAAGTGTAAACAAGCCCTTAAGAAGATGCCCCCTAACTTCCTGTTTTGGTGGTCACTGAGACAAGCAGTGAGGAGAAATCCCACCAGTACTGCACAGTCATCAGATGAAACCTTAGAAACTTTAGGGTCTTTCCCAATCTGCAAAAAAAAAAAAAATGGCTTTATTTGAAAGTGGAACTTCCCCCAAAAGGGGAAGTTCTGCTCTTCCTCCACCTCCCCACCTCCTCTGCCACATTTGGATTGTATTTTTTTTGACAGGTACCTCCTTCCACTTCCGCCTGGATCCTTTAGGCCTAGGCTAGTTCTCCTCCACCTCTTCCTGCCCGCAATCTTCTGGGACATGTCACAGGTCCCAAAAAGTTGCGGGACCATTCACAAAGAGCAGCATGACTCATGTGCAGTAGGCAGCCATCTGTGAAGCTAGGAGGAGTCACAACCAGCTGCCCACAGTTAACATGCGCCAGGGTCCAAACATCGGTAAAGAAACTGACTTGGGTGACCACAGCTCTGGATCCTTGTGCTGGTAAGTGTCTGGTTATTAACCTCCCTAGCAGTCTGATTATGTCAGTATTTCTGTGCTCAAAGCAATACATTTTTTTGCATGGAAATATGTATTTTTTTTATTGTAGGCCTGTAATTTTTAGGAATAACTCCCTGAAATCTGTCTGAACAAGAGTCTAGTAAACATCCCGGGTATGTTAAAATTTGAAACACGAAATCATAAATTATAATTTAATAAATAATCATAAAAAAATATATAATAATAATAAATTTATTTCACCAATATAATCAAACCAAAAACACCGAAATTTGAAATATAGCGCCAAGTTCGCACATCACTGAGCAAAGTCGCAGAATCGTTTTCAGTGTCTGATGACGAATTTCCCCACGAATCATTATCACTCAATTCTGCAAGTGGTTCTGATTTACTATCGCTGTTCTCTAGCTGGTTTAAAACCGCTTTTGATCTAAAGGGACGCTTTTTGGATGCCATGGACATCTCTCAGTTTCCAGGCAGAAAGAACAGTAAAAATGCAGGCAGGGGACAGGACAAAGCACTAGGGACAAAATGTATGTGAAATGGTTTGATACAGTAATGTTTTATTATGTGATTTTAGTGTATTGAGTGAATGTCACAATATGTCATTTTCAAATTTCCCACCGTTCCGTCCCCTGTACATCCCAACGCTCGCAGAGGACGGAACCCAGATGACAGATGCCGGCATCCGCCGGAGTACATTACAGGGGACACTGCAGGAGGGACATCGCGGGAGCGCAGGACAAGGTACGTGATCGAGGGATCGCGGAGCAGCGCCGCATGGTAAACCTGAGTGTAGCTCAGGGTTACCGCTTTTGGTACTGAAACTTTACCCTGAGCTACACTCGGGAATACCGCCAGGGAGGTTAAAGGCCAGCAGCTACAGTTTTTGCTACATCTGACTCAAGCTCCTCTGTGACTTTAACTAAGTGTGCAACAGTTGATCTAAATAAAGGTTCATTCACACCAGAATATAGTGTGGGAAACCAGTGTTCCGTACTCATTTCTCGCAGTGTGTTCAAAACACACTGGGTGTGTGATCTGCTGTGGGTGTCAATATATTCCTAATGACACCCCAAATGCAGAGTGCAAATGCAGTCCATTTGCCTGCACTGGATCACATGGTACCTTAGTACCATGCGGTTTGGTGCGGTGCGAAGCGGTGCATCACAAGGGATTCACACAACATGGACCGCGTTCCTGGTCAATTAACCTCTTTCCTCCCACCCTATAGCTGAAATACTGCTACAGGGTGGCAGGGTAGTGCAAAGGCACATATATATACGCACGCCACCCTACCCGCGCCACCATTGGTGGCTACGGATGTCAACCAACGGGTCCCGGCCAGGGATTCTCCTCTGGCACCCAGTGATTGCCGAGTAACACTGACAGGGGAGAGACCTGTGTGTAAACAACACAGGTCTCTCTACTGCCATCAAGAACATGCTGCTGTGTATTTCACTGCACAGCAGAGAAATACACAGTGGCATATTTCCAAAGCAAAAACACACACAACACATGTTGTAAAACACAGCACAGCACACAGTTAACCCTATGATTGTCCCAGATGTTAACCCCTTCCTGCCCAGTGTCATTAGTACAATGTCAGTGCTTTTATTAGCACTGATCACTGTATTAGTTGCACTGGGGATGTCAGTGCAGTTAGTCAGTCCCCCCCCGCCCGTGTCAGAATGCCCGCCGCAGACCCACTATAAGTCGCTGATCGCCGCCGTTACTAGTATTAAAAAATGTAAATTCCAGTATATATAGCATATATAGATGCTATAACTTTCACGTAAACTGATACATTTACACGTATTAGGATTTTTTTTTTAGCAAAGACATATAGCAGAGTAGATTCTGGCCTAAATTTATGACAAAATTTGATTTTTTTTACATTTTTAAATTTTTTATTGGATGTTTTATAGCAAAAAGTAAAAAAATATTGGGTTTTTTCAAAATTGGCAGTCTTTTTTGTTTACAGCGCAAGAAAATAAAAACCGCAGAGGTGATCAAATACAACTGACAGAAAGCTCTATTTGTGGGAAGAAAAAGAACATAAATTTTATTTGTGTACAGTGTTGCATGACCGTGTAATTGTCAGTTAAAGTAATGCAGCGTGGTATTGCAAAAAATGGCCTGGTCAGGAGGGGGGGTAAATCCTCTGGAGGGCAAGTGATTAAGGTGTGAACTGACCTTAATAGAAAATGTACAGTTAGTGATTTTATACTATTTTATACAACACCAAAGAAAACTGTGGTAAGTCTCTGTGTCCCCTGTGTAGTGAATGCAAGCATTACTGGGAGGCCTAGATGTAATTCCAGAGTCTTTACATGGAAGAGGAATCTGTTTTACTAAGACTCTGTCTGGCATGTCCCAGCTATACATATACAGATGCAATAATATATTTGATGGTTTTAGAAAGTCTGCCACGCCAAACATTTATTTAGGGGTGACCTCTATTTACTATCATTCCAAGATGGTTATATTTTTTTACATCAACAAGCTAATTTACAAACACAACTAGAATCTCATCTCCTGGCCCCACAGAGATATAAGAAGCCATGTCCCAAGGGCCTGACCCTTGGAAAGCCATTATATTACTAAAGCCGGCCATACACTAGCAAATGTATGTACAAAAACAATTGTATGAAAATTCTCATCAGCAAATTCCATGGCATTCCAGGCACATTGCTGGATCAAGATCAGGCTCAGGTAAGTATCAGGGGGTTGGGGGGATCCTGTGGCACAAAAGATTTTTTACTTTAATGCAGTGAATGCTTTAAGACAAAAAAAAAAAAAAAACCTTAAGCCTTTAGAACCACTTCAAATTCCATGCTGTGTTTCAATTATTTCTAGTCTCCTATTAATCTCAATGATCTTAAAGTTTGTAAATGTACTTGTGAAGAATTCCCACACATTTACTTCCTTGAAGTCTGTGACATGTACTTACTATGCCCTGTGAGTAGGCACTGCTGTGTCATTTACATTGGATAGTGAAATATAACTATTGTTTGTATTGCTATTACAATGCTGATGTTATAAAATGAAAGTGTATGATGTGACCATGAATTTCTGTTAAAGTGTTACTAAAGTCTAGTTTTTAAAACAATAAAAATAACAAACATGTTATACTGCTATGGGGGCACATGGTGTCTGCTTGCTCTAAGCTGTGTGTCTATGAGCCGTGCTCCATATACACACACAGCGGATCTTAACTTCCTCTTCACTGAATTTGAGATTGGCAGCTCGAGCCCTGTGTGAAGAGGAAGAGAAGAGATCAGCACTGGATCTCCTCTTTCTCTTCCACTTCACACAGGGAAGGAGGAGGACATAGAAATAGAAAAGAGTTTTTAGCTTTAGTGTCACTTTACGGTTAGAACATAGTCGCAGAAGTGAAACTCTTTCTGCTGTAGCTGGAAGGATAAAACTCAATGTTGGAAAGCCCCCCCCCCCCCCAGGACCTCTGTGAGGGGTTTCTTGATTCCTCAGTCCACGTCTATTGATACTTTAAAATTACTGGAAATTTAAGAATGGAGAGTAAACTAGAGCAGAGGTCACCAAACTATGGCCCTCCAGGTACTGAAGAACATCAAGTCCCATGAGGCCTTGCAAGACTCTGACAGCCACAGGCAAGACTCCCAGAGGCAGAGGCATGATGGGACTTGTAGTACTTCAACAGCTGAAAGGCCATAGTTTGATGACCCCTGAACTAGAGCAATGAAAACTTCAATTATAAAGAAGAATGTGAAAGTGCACATGAGTATTTAATATGCAAACAGAGAATAATGGAAATGGCTAAACCTAGGCTCAAACAATTGTTGAAACTTGGCAATTTATAACATACCTAAGTTCACTTTTATGAATCTCAACAATTTTCCTTTCCAGCTTTTGTGACTGCTTAGGGAATATCTTGAAGTCACAGATGTAATTATCAGGATGTTCGTCAGGATCATAATCACCGATCTCGGCTGCAAAGGTAATATTCAGTTATTACAAAGCTTATGGAAAGATTGTAATCATACCTTACAAGGTTTACACGATTAGTGTCACTTAGTTTCTGACACAGAGATGTCAGAATATTAATTACTGCAGGCAGCAGATGACCTAGGCTAGGAAGTGCTTGGATCTGGAAATATCACCTGATCCGTACCAAAGGGGAACACAGTTCACCTTCTGCATTCCCTTGTCCCTAAATACACAAACTTCAGTAGAATTGTTAACTAAACCAGCAAAGGTCACCCATTTGACACATTAGGCATAATGGCTGGTATCCCTGTTGTGAGAGGGTTGTGAACAGTGTTCCCTGCTACATTACACAACATCGGGGGAGGAAAGCTTGGGAAAGGAGAACAAAAAAAAAAAACCCACCTCTCAATACAGGAGTATTGTGGGAATCAGAGAAGTTTGTGTGTCAATGTGTCAGTGTTTCCTGTGAAACAATACTAACTTAACCAATGAAATCACTGATCAAACCAAAGAAACTGGAGTGTAGGAATTTCTGAGAATCTTTCTCAAGTTACCACCCTGTGGGTGAATTCATTCTGAAGCTGAAAACCACAGTGGCCAAGATATGTTTCCCCATATTTATCCCTTGGATTTTGGAGTGGAGCAACCCTATAGATGTTATTTAGTTTGTTTTATTTTTACTTTGGAAAATGCATCGGTATACAAAGGAGTAGGGTTTATATTTCAGTTTAAAGACATAAATACTTAAAGGAGACAAATACTTCCACAGTAGGTTTCCCATCACACTGGCTGAAATTCGCTTTGGACATCTCCAGACTGAGTTACGCTAATCCAAATCAGATCATAAAACCCAACACTCTATTTCCCTCATCTCCTTTATCTCCAGTATAAATTATTCAAGTTGTATAAATATAATAAAAGCAGTAAAGATTAAAAAGTCCCAGGAGTGTATAATACATGCAAAACTAGGTGATATAGTTAAGGGAGATATGTTTAAATTCACCCATGACTTCCTTCCCATTAATGCCAAATTCACTCAATTGACATTTCTAAGCCTCCTTTTGCATACTGCAAAAAAAATCAATTCTAATATCCTGAAACAAATGTTTACCAATGTTGCATAAATGCCTTTAAATGTTACATAATGTACTAAGTTATTAATTGGAAGGCAAGATCATGGAGTATAATGTTATTACACAAGATATTTTCCTTACCTTGAACTATACAAGCACCCAGGAAAGCAGCATCAGCAAAGGAGCATAAAAGGCGTCCATGGAAAATATCCCTCTTTATTTGTAGGTACAGGAGATACCTATAAGTCAAGGAAAAACAATGTTTTTTATATATTTTTGTATGCAGTATAATGACAATGGTGTCTTGCTGTGGTTATGTATTTGATTCTTCTACCTATTAAAAAAATGTGTTATGACAGATATATGTGGCATTCCATTGATGACCTTCTGAAAATGCTAGATGCCTGTTGGTGATTATTTCCACAGTTAAAGCAGTTGTAAGGGATATTAAATAAAACACATATTATACTTACTCACTCTGCAACGGTATTGCACAGAGCAGCCCAAAACCTCCTCTTCTGGGATCCCCCCCCCCCCCCACTGGCACTCATAGCTCCTCTTTCTCTTGGTGTGCCACCATAGGAAACCTCTCCTTATGGTGGCACACCTACCGGCTTGGTCCTAACCCAACCTGTGTGCATCCATAGACACACAATGCGGCTTGACCCCACTTCTTCCTCACAGGATTTAATTGAGAGCAGCAGGCGCCAATGGCTACTGCCGCTTTCACTGCAGGCTGTGAGGAGAGGAACACAGACAAATGCAGCTGCAGATGATCACAGTACTGGATTGAGATAGGACTCAGGTAGGTATAAAGGGTAGTGAGGAGGCAATACAACTAGGGAAGGCATTAAGGTAAAAAATGTCTAGCCTTTAGAACCACTCTAAATAATCCAGCCACATCTACAGAAGCGCAGTCATTAAATCCTATGGAGCTATTATGAACCTTATTCATAGACAGATTCTTCATAGTTAAAGAGGAGCTCCAGGCTCAAAAAAAGAATTAAAATTCAGCAGCTGGCTTTTAATATAAGGACACTTATTGTATCTGTCCAGGGGTCCAGAACCGTCCTCACCGGGCTAGTTCTTTACTAGCCTCTGGTCCTGTAATCTTCTGGGACCTGCGGGGGGAAGGAGGGGGGCTGATCTTCTGACTTAGTTCACCGTGGCGAACTGAGCTGGAAGCTTGCTATATACTAGAAGATTTCAAGTGAACATTTTTAAAACATTTGTACGAAAATTTCTGATCTGTAAAAATGTTTGGTTTTTTTTTTTGCTTTTAACATTCAATTTTGTAATGAATGGACTTTTCTGAATGCATCGCTGTTAGAAATTTATTCGTTAGAGAAGAATTTTCAATCCTGCTTCTTAGAGTTTTCTCATCACTGTGGTCGAAAACAAATGTTAATCTGACCCCACTAATAATTAGAAAATTGAAAGAATGTTCTGAGAACTAAAAATTTCAAATGAAATTCTACAACTGTATGGCCTGCTTAAGGCTGGGACTTATATAGTTTGCCATTATTTACCAACCATACCTTCACCTTGTCCCAAGTCGTACCCCACACATCTCCCCTAATATTCTCATTTGGTGAAGCCCAGAGTTTCACATTTTCTGACCATTCCTAATGGCCCCTAGTGGGCTCAAATGGGGCTGAAACATCTGCATAATCTGTACTGTCAAGGATCTTTTAAACCTCTTTACATGGAAACATGACATGGACATGACTAGTGATGTTTTGCCCCTTTATAGGATACCTTAATAGTCCCAGGATGCCCTATTAACTTTATAAAATTTATGGATCATTCATATTAAGTTTGTGGATCACTGAAACCCCCTAATCTCTGGTAAATTGTGGCTGCCAGCATCCTCAGTAGCCACAAAACCAAAAACCTCAATAAAACAGGACTTTAATTTTGGCAAACAATAATAACTGAAACATGATAATTAGCTGAAAGTACTAGCTTTTGATTTATTTATTATTCAAAAGGACAAGCTTATCCTACTGCACCATAGAGATAGACATACACTGAGTAAATGAACCAGCAAAAATATGAACAGTGGTGGCCCTATTGGCACTACTCTGTCCAATATCTTTCTATTGAAAAATCAAAGGAGCTGGGCAGACATTTGTCAGCTGAACAGCATCTGTATTCGATCAGATTCAAGCATTGTTTGAGTATTCTGGCAGCGGGTGTCACCAGCAGTTAGGATACAGTGGGGTTGATTTACTGAAGGCAAACAGACTATGCACTTTGCAAGTGCAGTTGCACTATTTTTTCTTAGTAAATACAATGCGGTAAAGTTTCACTTTGTAAATAATACCCAATCAGGTGCAAGGAAAATACAAAAAAAAGTTGCACATTACCCCACTGTGAAAGAAACACTATTATTTCAATAAATATTGTATGGGAGAGAAACATTTATGCTGCCATGGGGGATCTGAATATGCTAGGTTCTTGGCTGTGATGCTGATCCTTGGGCAGCGCAGTGGCTAAATGATTAGCACATCCACCTGACAATATTAGTGTCATTGGTTCAAATCCCAACCATGGCACCATCTGCCTGGAGTTTGCATGTTCTCCCTGTGCTTGAGTGGGTTTCCACCGGGTACTCCAGTTTCCTCCCACACTCCAAAGACATACTGGTAGGTTAATTGGATCCTGTCTAAATTGGCCCTAGTATGTATGAATGTAAGTCAGGGACCTTAGATTGTATGCTCCTTGAGGGCTAGGGACTGATATGAATGTACTATATATATGTAAAGCACTGCATAAATTGACAGCACAATATAAGTACCTGAAATAAATAAATAAATCTTCTCACTGCTTACTGAGTCATTAATCTGGAATGAGTATTTAGTTCAAGGCTTTAAGCTGCTCTTGCTTTATGCTTTTCTTGCATTAGTGACTCAGAGTATTGGAACCAGAGGTAGCAATGCAACAAGCATTTCAAAGGGTCATCATGGACATCCTCCCTAGTTCTTTAAGTACAGGTTTTATTTATGAGAACAAAAGACGTCCAATCGGCTGAACTCCAAACAATCCACTTTATTGAACCAAGATAAAACCAATACAGACAGTGGAAATACAGAGGGGGACTAGCAGGTACACGCATTTCACGCTAAAGATAAAGACAGCGCTTATTCATTACCAGGTTTTAGATAAATGAGGCGAAAAACAGTCCATTCATCAAACATACAGTAAAAAACATTCACACAGAAGGAAGAGCCCAAAGAAAACAAATTATAGATTGAGAAATAATAAATTTTTTATATAATTAGGATAAGACCCTAATGAAATACATACAGTATATGACTCATTATGGGCTAAAATATGAATAAATAAAATATAAAAACAGCTATATGCTGAAGAAGCCTCTCTGTTCATACATTGAAGCTAGTTTAGATTTGACCTTCTATTACCTGGATAGTACAGCCAAACTGGAAGCAATACAATACAAAGCTGGATATCAAAAGAATGAGCCATTGTATCTCTAATCATTGTCTCCAAGCAAATCCAATGGCAAACAGGAAACAAGGGGATTCTAAACACAGAAAAATTACAAAGCTGTTTTTCACCTAAGCAAGATGGTGCATTCATTGTGCACATGTGATGGTAAAGCCACATTTGTACTTGAGTTACCCTCATAGCGTACTAGTGGTAGCCATTCTGTCTGTAAGATTGAAAATTTGTTTTCAGATTGAACAAGCACCAAATAATTAAGCTTGAGAGAAAAGTTAGAAGCCTATGTGTATTTGCCATCAATGGCATGTTTTTAAAACCATATATTTAGTGCACATTAACAAGGCCGAAGGGATAACTTTTCAAAAATCTAACAGTTTAACATGTAGACCAATATATTTCCTTCTTTTCTTCTTCTTTCATCTTTCCTTATTTATTGATTTAATTATTTATTTGCTTTACTTTTTCAAAAAGAGATGCTTCACTTCATTGAATAAAATGCAAGAGAGCAATGGTTTATCAAATAAAACAATCACATTTCTTTCCTAACTTAATCTCTAATCCAACCAGCCAGCTATCAAACACTGGTACTCCTAGGCAATGTAGAGGAGCTTTTGTAATGAATTAGAAAATGCAAGGCTTAAACTAATCACCATTTAATTACACCAGCTAAAGCAATATAAATGTCAGTGCTCTGAGCAAATATTATCAAGCAAATACAAAGACTAAATTGTGCATAGTGAATATGCTGGTTTGTTAATATCCTGACAAATGATATAGATGAGGACAGAAATGTTGCTTTCAGAACTACAGGTGGAGCCACAGTCTCAACAGAAAAACCATTATATCCTCTCAGAGTATTAATACATATGCTATATTAAACGTGGGCCATCTATAGTATAAGGTGTGTGAAATGTATGCATCAGTGGCTCCTGTCTACATGCATAGTAGGAGATAAATTCATAAAGCAGTAAATAATGACTTGGACAATTTATGTTTCTTTTAACCAGGCTAGAAAAAAAAATCCTTACATTTATAAAACACTATATTACCCTTCCACATCAAGCAACATTCACTGACATTTTCCAGCATTTGGGTTTTCCAATTATATAAAGGTAAATACAGGCTGCAGAAACATTCACTGTATTGATAACAAGGCCAGTGCTAGAATTGCCATTCATGGTTGTTCCTTATGTTCAGCAAGTGCATGCTTGATTTCTTAATTGATTCCCTACAGAGACCCAATTGCATGGATTCTGAATCAGGATTTCTGCATACAAGGCTAGGATGGTATAAAATGCTCAGAGTCGCAGGCAGGTTGAAAGTAGGCTCTCAGCAAGTAGCAAGCTATGGGAGTATTTAGTATTCACCAGAGACCTTAGTGGTGGGCACTTATAAACCATGACTCCAAAAGTTTTGGGGTTTTTTCATACAATTTTCTCATTGTGTGTACTAGACATAAGGATGGTATTACCAGCTGAGACTGGCAGCTAGATAGGCAATCTCAGTCATTAGGCAGGTTTGTAGCTAGGAACTGTCCAAATGAAGACATTGTCACATACACTCACCGGCCACTTTATTAGGTACACCTTGCTAGCGCCAAAAGTATCCCCCACATTATTACACCACCAGCCTGAACCGTTGATACAAGGCAGGATGGATCCATGCCTTTATGTTGTTTACACCAAATTCTGACCCTACCATCTGAATGTTGCAGCAACCAGCCTATCCATTCTCCTCTGACCTCTGACATCAACACGGCATTTTCGTCCACAC